CCGCCCACCTCCGCGGGCGGAACATTCCGGAACCCCCGCCGCCTGCAGCAGCTGGGGTCATGGGAGGGTTTCTCTGGAGGCCGTTTGCTTTTTATTCTCTCCGTTCAGGCACGGCTCCGTGCCCGGCCGGTCTGGCCCGTGAAGTCAGCGTCACGTCTAAGGATGAAGTTGTCACCGCTCATCGCAGCTCTTCAGAGGGGGACAGGGAGGAGCTTCACTCTTTAAACACGTGTATTTTTATTGGTTTCAGAGAGCAAGGAGAGGGAGAGAGAGAGGGATAGGAAAGCATCCAGGATGAGAGAGAATCCTGGATCAGCCTCCCGCACGCCCCCTCCTGGGGATGGAGCCCACACCCCGGGCCTGTGCCCTGACCGGGAATGGAACCCTGACCTCCTGGTTCCCAGGTCGATGCTCAACCACTGAGCCACACCGGCCGGGCTTTTTTTTTTTTTTTTTTTTTTTAAGTGGGAGAGAGAGAGAGACACAGAAACACACGCCTCTCCTCACAGCATCCCCGGGGAGAGCACCGTCTCCCGCTCTGCAGGCTTTCCAGGAGCACGTGTGTGCACAGGAGCACGCGTGTGCACAGGAGCCGCCAGCGCCATCTGCTGTTCAAGCCCAGGCTCCCGCCCCAGCACCGGGTTCAGCACCACGGACAGAGCTCCGGGGGCCCGGGATGGGGCAGAGGCTGGCAAGAGGGTGCTGGGTCCCAGGGGGAAATCCAGAACTACAGGGAAGCCTGGGCCAATAGGAAGGAGGCCAGGGCCCAGGAAGGAGGTCCTAGACCAATAGGAAGAGGCTGGGGCCAGGTCCTGGACCAATAGAAAGGGGGTCAGAGCCTGAGAGGGTGTCCGGGGCCAATAGGAACGGGGCCAGGGCCAGGGAGGGGGTCCTGGACCAATGGGAAGGGGGCTAGGGCCAGGGAGGGGGTCCTGGACCAATGGGAAGGGGGCTAGGGCCAGGGAGGGGGTCCTGGACCAATGGGAAGGGGGCTAGGGCCAGGGAGAGGGGGCTCAGGGCCAATAGGAAGGGGCCAGGGCCAGGGAGGGGTCAGGGCCAGGTAGGGGTCAGGGCCTGGAAAGGGGTTTAGGGCAGGGGAGGGGGTTAGGGCCAGGGAGGGGGGTCAGACCTGGGGAAGAGGGCCAGGGAGGGGGTCAGGGCCAATAGGAAGGGGCCAGGGCCAGGGCCAGGGAAGAACGCATCAGCGTAGCCGGTCCGGATCCGATGGAAGCGCACTGCTGGAGCCGGTCTGCCTGGTCCGGGGAGGGGCCCGCGCTGTGTCTGTGAGTCCCTCCCGGGCGGCGCCCAGCGTGCCGGAGGCGCAGACCGGTCTCAGGTGGAGCCGCTCTCGGAGGCTCACACAGATCAGTGCTGCGGGGGCAGCGGCAGAGCGGCCGGTCCCGGGGCTCGGGGACACGGACCCTCCCTGTGCACAGCCCCCACGGGGTCCTGGCTCAGGAGGCGCCTCCCGAGGGGCCCCGGGACCCCCTGTGGCTCTGCCACCCTCCGCCGGCCTCCGCGGTCCGAGCTGCCTGCGTCAGGGCCGGAGGCGAGGACGGCGGACGCCGCCCGGGGTCTGTGTCCGCGGAGTCTGGGAGCCGCGAGCACTCTCCTGCCCCCGTGGGCCGGTGAGGCACGGCGGGCCCGGGGGAGGGCTTGGCGTGGAGCCTGAGGGAGGCGGAGCAGGGGACGCACGGCCTCTGGCATCGGAAGTGCCCCCCGTAGCAGACTGTGGGGTATCTCCTCCCCCACCTCTCCTCTGGCTTCACACCCCCCCCCCCGCTCTCCACAGCCCCCCCCCCCCACCACCACCCACCACCCTCTCCTCTGTGGCTGCTCCCCGCCCTCCTGTGGCCACTGGCCCTGCCTCTGAGCTGGCTCCTCCCACCTGCCTCGGCGTCTGCCTCGGCCTCGGGGCTCAGAGAGGAGACGGGTGTGGAGGCCCCGTGCTCTCTGACCCCCAGACTGTCCGTGAGGTCACCCTGGGGGAGCGTCCGGCTGAGGACGCTCTCAGCGCCTTCGTCGCCGCATCCGTCACCGCTGATGGCATTGGAATGGGCTCCGTCGCTATTCTAAATCAAAGATGGATGCCCCGGCTGTCCGCGAGGCCTTTATTTGGAAACTTAATCTTGTTTCCAGGAGTCTAGATTAGCTTACTGGATTCAGGCTTCCCTGCAGCGTCTCCTGGGGCTAGGGCGTCCTCTTCTCTGTCCTCCTCTCTGGCTTCCTTCCCGCCCTTCTCCCTGCCCTCTTCCCTATCCGCCTCCCCTTCCTCCTCCCCGTCCCCCTCCCCGTCCGCCTCTTCTTCCTCCTCCTCCCCGTCCTCCTCCCCATCCTCCTCCCCGTCCTCCTCCTCCCCATCCCCCTCCCCGTCCTCCCCATCCTCCTCCTCCCCGTCCTCCTCCTCCCCGTCCCCCTCCCCGTCCTCCTCCCATCCTCCTCCCCGTCCTCCTCCTCCCCATCCTCCTCCCCGTCCTCCTCCCTGTCCTCCTCCTCCCTGCCCTCCTTCTTGTCCTCCTCCCTCTTCCCCATCCTCATCCTCCTCCTCCCCGTCCTCCTCCCCATCCTCCTCCCCATCTTCCTCCTCCCCATCCTCCTCCCCGTCCTCCTCCTCCCCATCCTCCTCCTCCCCATCCTCCTCCCCGTCCTCCTCCTCCCCATCCTCCTCCTCCCTACCCTCCTTCCTGTCCTCCTCCCCGTCCTCTTCCTCCTCCTCCTCCCGGTCCTCCCGTGCTCTCCTCCTGTGCGTCCCATCAGGAGGCCAGTGGGGCGGGCTCCCGGCCCAGCACGCCAGGCGGACACAGGCCGCCGTCGGCCGCTGACTGTGGGGCCTGGCGTCCAGGAGGTTCCCCAGGGCCCCACGACCCTGGGCCAGGCCGTCCACTGGGCCGTGTGTCCCACCAGGGCCTCCCCCACACCCGCCCTCTCGGGGTCCGTGGGGGCTCTGTCCGTCCCGGGGAAGGTGGCAGCGACGTGAGCGCCAGCCCCACGGGTGCGCGTCCTCGGGGTGAGGAGCCCCAGCTCCGGCCCTGCCTCTGGGGGGCAGGCTGTGGGGTCCCCCTGCCCTCTGGGTGAGGACGTGGCTGCCCAGAGAGACCGGTGACTGAGGGTTTCCATCCACTGAGAGGCAAGGCTGCCCCCCCCCCCCGCCTCCCCTAAACAGGTGGGTTGGACTGTGCCCGCCCCCGGTTCCTGTGCTGAAATCCTAGCCCCGGGGTGTTCGGCCAGGTCCTCGGGGGTCCTGAGGGCTGAATGAGGTCACAGGTGGGGCCCTGACCCCATAGGCGGAGGAAGAGCTTCCTCTGCCCCAAATGCACCCCCGAGAAAGGCCACAAGGCCCCGCGGGATGCTGGCCGCCCCCAGGCCAAGGGAAGGGGCCTCAGAGTGCAACCTTCCTGGTCACACCTTGACCTTGACCTCCAGCACAGTGAGAAGCACGTTGGGCGTCCTGGCCACCCGGCCTATGGTTTTCCGAAGGCGGCCAGTGCCCTCGCTGTGTCCCTGTCTGCCACTCTCCACCTCTCCCTCCCTCCCCCCCAGCCCTCCCTGGCTTTCCCGGAGCACTGCCGCCATCTGCTGGTCAGTCTCAGGATAGCAGGCAAGACCCAGGCCTCAGAGGCCCCCCCATCCCGCCAGCATTGCCACCCCCACCCACCCCCACCCCCACATCCACTCACACACACACCCCCACACCCACACCTACACCTAAACCTCCACCCCACACCCACCCACATCCACACACCTCCACACACACCTACACACACACCTCCACACACACCTCCACATACACATACACCTACACATACACCTCTACCCCACACCCACCCACAGACACATCCACACACACCTACACATACACCTACACCCCCACACCCCACCCACAGACACACACCCACAACCACACCACACCCACACACACCTCCACACACCCACACATCCACACTCACACCCACACCCACCGACACACACACACACACACACACACATAATGGTTTCAGAGAGAGGGAGGGAGAGAGAGAAACATCAATGATGAGAGAGCACCATCTATTGGCTGCCTCCTGCACTCCCCCAGCCCGAAACCCGGGCCTGTGCCCTGACCCGGAATCGAACTGTGACCTCTTGGTTCATAGGTCACTATTCAACCACAGAGCCACGCTGGCCAGGCTGAACCCTGGATGTTTTAAAAGACGATGTGCCCTTATTTCCAGAACACTTTGCAGGCTGCAGCAAACAGCGCCCGCGGACCGAACACCACCCGCCCCAGGTCCCAGCCCCCGAGGGGGTCCCAGCCCCTGAGGAGCTAAAACGCAAGACTGACAGGCAGGGCAAGGCCAAGGTCCTGGGGTCACAGCCAAGGACGCAGAGCCAGGGGCCGCCCAGGCCTCCCGCCTTGAGTCCAGGGCCTGGCCCTCGTGGAAAACCCCGTGGATTCCCCGTCAGAGCACACGCCCGGGTCCCTCAGAAAGCAGCCCCGCTCCTGTCACGCCCCCTCCCTGTGTGAATTCTGTTGTTGCTTCCCTTTGGCCCCCCTCTCCTTTCTGTGTGAGACGACACGTGGGTTCCAAGGTCCCGCCCGACCGGCCGCTGCCCGCTCCCCGGCGCCGTCCCTCACTGGCCGCCCGGCCGCCCGCGTCCCTCCCGTGTGCCTGCGTCCATCCTGCCACAGGCCCTTTGCACCTGCTCCTCCGTCAGGGCCGGAGGCTGTGGGGCCAGCTCGCTCTTCTGCGCCCAGCCCCGCCCGTCCGGCCCTCCCGTCGCCGGCTTCAGAGACCACAGACCCTCCCCGTGCCCCCCGCCCCCTCCGCAGGCCACTGTGGCTCAGAGAGCGCTCTGACTGACAGCCCAGCGTGACCTCACAATCCCCTCCGGCCCGCCCACCCTGAGGGCACCTCCCGGCGGCCCGGCCCTGACTCTGCCCTCCCTGCCCTCGCCCGGAAGCCAGGCCGGACCCCGGGGTCACCCAGGCGAGCAGCGAGGGACAGGGGCTCCGGAGCGGCCGGATGCAGGGCCTCAGCACCATCATGCAGGAGAACGCCGAGGGCCTGAAGGACCTCATGCCCGAGGAGCGCAAGTCCATGTGGCGGACGGCCGATGAGCGGCGCATGTCGGACCTCACGCGGGTGATGGAGTGGCTGGAGCGGCGGCGGGGGAGGAAGGTGTCACTGGCGCAGAAACAGGCGCAGGCGCAGGCGCAGCCCCAGCCCCAGCCCCCGCCGCCCCCGCCGCGCAAGGTGTGCCCCGGAGGGACCTGCCAGGGAGGCTGACGCCCGCCTGTCCCCGAGCGGGTGGACGGGACGGGCTCGGGGGGAGGGCGGGAGGAGCTTTCAGCCCGGGGGGGGGGGGGGAGATGGAGGGCTATCAGGGGAGGGGGGTGTCGGGGGGGGGGGAGACCAGGGGGAAAGTCCTGGCGGACATCAGAGCCGGTCGGAGAGCAGGCCGCTGTGGCCCTGATGGGTGCCCGGTAGCTGGGCGATGACGCAGGCATGGAGGCGAGGCAGGGGCGCTGTCTGTCTGGGTGAACTTCTCAAAGGCTTGACGAGGGCGGGCACTGAAGGCCCCTCGGTGGGTGTCTGAGGCGGTCTGGGGGGAGGGAGGGGGCGGGCGTGCCAGCACCACGGAGGGGTGGGGGGCGGGCGGGCACAGCTGTCTCTCTGCCCCCCAGAAAGTCAACAAGACGCCCTGGATGCCCGTGAAGACCCTGGGGAAGGAGGCCAAGAAAGCCAAGGCCATCGCGAAGAAGGCGAAGGAGAAAGCCCGCCAAGTGACCTTCGAGCAGGTAGTGGGGCCTCGATGGAGCCCCAGAGCCCCCGCCCCCGGCTGCATTTCCAGGGACCTCACAGCTACCCCTGTCCCCCACCCCCACCCCCAACCCCCACCCGACCTCCCCGTGACCCCCGAGGCCGCTCAGGGGGGTGGGGACAGACAGAGCCGCCCCAGCCCTCACCCCGCCCCCCAAGATAAAGCCCCAGAGCCCCGCCCTGGGCTGCGTTTCCAGGGACCTCACAGCTACCCCTGTCCCCCACGCCCTGCCCCACCCCCACCCCCACGCCCTCCCCCACGCCGACCTCTCCGTGACCCCCGCCGCCCTCAGGGGGGCGGGGACCGGACTGAGCCCCAGCCCAGCCCTTCTTCCCTCCAGCGCCCCTCCCTGCAGCGCCCCTCCCTCCAGGGTGCCTCCCTCCAGGGTCCCTCCCAACAGCCCAAGCTGAGCCGGCCGGAGGACGCCGCCTCCTACCGCCGGCTGTTCAGCGCGGAGCAGAAGGGGAAGCGCCTGAGCATCGTGCCCGGGAGCTACACCAAGGAGAGCCTGGGCAAAACCGGTGAGCGGCACCCAGCCCAAGCCCCCGGCCGCCTGCCCAGGGCCTCGCCCTGCCCCCCGGGCCTCGCCTTGCCCCCGGGGCCACGCCCTGGCCCCCCGGGCCTCACCCTGGCCCCCTGGGGCCTCGCCCTGCCCCCCGGGCCTCGCCCCGGCCCCCCCGGGGCTCTCCCCGGCCCCCCTGGGCCTCGCCCCGGCCCCCGGGGCCTCGCCCTGCCCCCCGGGGCCTCGCCCTGGCCCCCCGGGGCCTCGCCCTGCCCACCGGGGCCTCGCCCTGACCCCCGGGGCCTCGCCCTGCCCCGGCCCCCCGGGGCCTTGCCCTGACCCCCGGGCCTCGCACTGCCCCCCGGGGCCTCGCCCTGCCCCCCGGGCCTTGCCCTGCCACCCGGGGCCTCGCCCTGCCCCCCGGGGCCTCGCCCTGGCCCCCCAGAGAGCGCCCCGGCCGCATCCCCAGCGAGTGGGGGCGCTCTCCGCAGGGAACTCCGTGGGGGGAGCGGAGCCCGGGCGGTGCGGCTCAGTGGTTACGGCCCCGGCCCTCGGGCCCAAGGGTCTCGGGTTCGAGGGTGGGTCCAGGCCTTGTGGGTTCGCTCCTCGTGTGCAGGAGGCAGTCAGTTGTGTCTCTATCGCATCGGTGTTCCTCTCTCTCTCTCTCTCTCTCTCTCTCTCTCTCTCTCTCTCTCTCCCCCCCCCATCCCTCACCCCCACCTCCCTCTTCCCTCCCTCCCTTTCACTCTCTAAAAATCCATGGAAAACATACCTTCGGGTGAGGATTAAAAACACACGACGGAACCATATAAAAATAGAAGTAAGCGGAGGTGCCAAACGGGGGCATCACTGGTTTAAAATAAAAACCTGCAGCCCAGGGCTGTGGGAGAAGTAGAAACCGGGAAGGACCAGCGAAGAAGGGAGAGCGAGCGGCAGGGATGCGGGGCGGGAGGGCCAGCGCCCACTCGGGGACGAGGAGAAACACCGCCCTCCGCCCAGCTCACACGCAGACCCGGGGCCACGGACACAGACGTGCGGGAATGCGAGGAGGATCGGTCAGACACACACACCGCGGTGGTGGGCGCTTCGGGGTGACCCTGGGGAGGAAAGCTCACCGGCTCCCGGTGCCCCCGTTCTCGCTGACGAGGAGCAACAGGGCCGGTTCCACCCCGGTCTCTGGAGCCGTCACAGAGCGGTCACCCAGCGTCCCCCACAGACCGCGGGCCCCGGGCGCGAGGTGTGCGGCCTTCATCCTACAAGCGCCCGGGTCCTCACCGTCAGACAGGACGCAAACGGAGCCGGCCCCGCGGGAGCCCAGAGCCGGGAGGGTAAAAGCTCCCGGCACAGCCTCAGTGCGGGACACCGCCCACCGGCCTCCGTGTTCGCGGTGAATGCCCACCGCCCGCCGGGGGCAGTCCGGCAGGTTGGGACGGGCCAGGGCCGCGGTCGGCAAACTCCTCCGTCCACAGAGCCAGTTATCAACGGCACCACGATGGCCACGTCTTCGGAGAGCCACAGTTTTTAAACGTAAACGTCTCCTAACGCCACGTCTTCAACACAGACTCGGCCAGGCCGTTGTGTTTTGTGGAAGAGCCACCCTCCAGGGGCCAAAGAGCCGCAGGTGGCTCGCGAGCCGCGGTTTGCCGGCCACGGGGCGAGGGCATCCATGGCCACCTATCTGATAGCACCGTGGATGGCATCGGCACGTGACCCGGAAAAGCGTCCGATCGCGGACGATAGAAAATCAATGAGCAGAAGCGACGGGGCCTGAGCCGCCCGCCGCCGTGTGGAGCGGACGGAGCTGGTGGGAGAAGCTGGGAGGAGGGGACCAGAGGAGGAGATGGATTCCCCAAAGAGCGGCTGGGTGTCTCTCCGGGATGGAGGGCTACGCCCTTTTCAGGAAAATCGGGCACAGAACCAGGCGTGACTGCATGGTCAGTATTTTTTTTTTTTTAAATATCTTTTTATTGATTTCAGACAGGAAGGGAGAGGGAGAGAGATGCACCAGTGATGAGAGAGAATCATGGGCCGGCTGCCTCCTGCACGCCCCCTGCTGGGGATGGAGCCTGCAGCCCGGCCTGTGCCCTGACCGGGAATCTGACTGAGCTCCTGGTTCAGAGGTCAATGCTCAGCCGCGGAGCCAGGCCGGCCGGGCACTGCTGGCCGGCGCTGCGTTGGGAGGCAGTCTCACTTCTGAAAATAGAGGAAGGAAGAGCCCTACCCATGTGGCTAGAGAGCATCGGTCTGCGGACTGAAGGGTCCCCGGGTTCGATTCCGGTCAAGGGCATGTACCTTGGTTGTGGGCACATCCCCAGGAGGGGGGTGTGCAGGAGGCAGCTGATCGATGTTTCTAGCTCTCTATCCCTCTCCCTTCCTCTCTGTAAAAAAATCAACTATATTTTTAAAATAAATAAATAAGTAGTGGAAGGAAGATATTGTACTTCCATTTTCCCTAATATATTCGCATCGCGGCAAACCTCAAGGAAGTCTAGTCAGATACCCATGCTGGTTGGTGAACCAGAAAAAACATTTAAAAACAAAAAATAAGTCTTTTTTTTTTTTCTCTATTAGTCACACCAGTTAGAAATGGAAACGGGAAGAAATTATACACCAAGTTAAAAAAAATCTGTAAAATATTTAAGAGTAAATTTAATAATCAATCAATCAATCAGGTCTACAAGCTCTAACCCCAAAAGTATTTCATTCAGTACAAATCCCACTCTTGGGCGACATCAGACGCCAGTTCATGTATTTCTGCTTTTTGACCTTCTGCACCCACCCCTCCTCCCCCATACCCTCTCCTCCCTCTGCACCCGCCCCTCCTCCCATTCACAACACTCTCTCCTCCCCTTTCCGTCTGTCTGTCCTTTCAAAGCCCAGCTCTGCTGATCAGTGGTTCCCAGTTGCTCTCCTCTGGTCCCTCCCTTGAACCCTGAGAGGCTGATGGTGCTTTCAGGCGGCCTGTGTGTGGGGGGCAGAAGGTGGAGAGAGAGAGTACGGACAGAGGGGAGAGGAGGAGGGGGAGGAGGGGCGGGAGGAGCGAGGGGAAGGGGAAGGTTGGACCTGTGCTGAGGAGGAGGCCATGCGAGGCCTGGGGAAGGGTCAGGGGAAGTCCTGGGCCTTGCCCCCTCCCCCTTCAGCCCCCGTGCCCCCCTCCCCCTCCCCCTCCGGCCCCCTCCCCCTCCCCCTCCAGCCCCCGTGCCCCCCTCCCCCTCCCCCTCGGCCCCCGTGCCCCCTCCCCTTCCCCCTCCAGCTCCCGTGCCCCCTCCCCCTCCCCCTCGGCCCCTGTGCCCCCTCCCCCTCCGGCCGGTGCCTCGCCCAGCTGACCGGCCGCGGTGCTGACCCAGTTTCAGAGCTGGAGATGAAGGACTCGCTGTCCACGGAGCCCGCCCCGCGGCTGATGTCCTTCCACCACCAGAGCATGACGGACCCCATGCTGCAGGACACCCTCTTCGGCGCCCGCAAGTCCACGCTCCTGCGCGAGTGGATGGGCAAGCTGCCCGACACGGCCTACGAGCGCCGCATCAAGAGCCTCATGGAGAAGGGCGTGGAGCCCAAGGTGGAGATGGTGCGGGCGCTCAAGCCCGAGGAGGTGCTGAGCTGCCGGTGAGGCTGCCCCGCCGTCCCTGCGCGGCCCCACCTGCCCCTCCGCCGCCCCGCCGTCCCTGCGCCCCCCTCTGTCCCCGTCCGGACCCCCCATGTGCCCCTCCGTCCCCGCCCAGACCCCCGCCCGCCCGCCCGGTCCGGGTGGACATGGCCTTTGTGGGGAGGGGACGGCAGGGGCGGTGCTTGTGCACATGCCGCCACATTGATTTCCAAACGACTTCGTTACCCACTCAGCCGGCCGGCGTGGTTCCGGGGCTGAGCGTCGACCTGTGAGCCAGGAGGTCAGGGTTCGATTCCCGCTCGGGGCACAGGCCCGGGTGTGGCTCCATCCCCTGTGCGGGGCGTGCAGGAGGCAGCCGATGAGTGACTCTCATCATGGATGCTTCTCCCTCCCTCTCCCTTCCCCTCTGACATCAATAAAAATACAGGAAAAGACAAAACCTCCCAGCAGCTCGGAGGCTCCCTGTCAGCTCCAGGGAGGCCTCACACGCCTGGGGCGGGGGTCTGGCCTCGCTCCCCGTGCCCCCTGACCCCTGACCCCTGACCCCGGCCCGCACAGGTACCTGCGTCTGTCCAAGAACAACATCCGCACGCTGCTCAAGCTGTGTACGGACGCGGGCATGGCCGTGGACATCCACCCCCACATGGTGGAGTCGGAGATCGACGCCAAGAAGGTGTTCGCCCCGTACCCCAGCGTGTCCCTCTGAGCCGCACCCCCAGGCTCCCCCCTCCCCGCACCCCTGGGCCCTCCCCGGGCCCTCCCCAAGCCCTCCCCCGGGCCTCCCCGGGCCTCCCCGGGCCTCCTGGGACGGTGCTGACCTGCAAACAAGGCCCAGCTGCATGGACGGTGGTGCCCGGGCCTTTGTCCTCCCTCCGCGGGGCGCGCCCCCAGCCCTCCCCCCAGGCTGCAGGCCCGGGGCCCCCCGCTGCAGGGGGACGCGGTGGGGGCTGGTGGGGGACACACGCACCCACCCAGGTCTGCACGCCGCGTGGCGAGGCCTGTGGGCGCCGGCTCTGTGGGTTGGGAGGAGACCGTCAGGGCTCAGAGACAAGGATTTCTGGGGTGAGAAGAAGCCCGGAGGGAGCAGCCCGCTGTCCCCGGTCGAGAGGCAGCAGCAGTGGGAGTGTCCTCCCCTCGCTTGCTCTGCGTCCGCGTCCCGGAGGCCGGAGGCCGGGCAGAGCTGCAGGCCCCGCTGCCCCAAGCCGCTGCCTCGGAGGTCAGGAGCCGGGCCCTCTGGTCACTGCCCTCAGCCCCGCGCCCTGTTCCCTCCGCTGTGAGGCGGTGGCCATGCCCGAGGGGACGGCGCTGGGTCACCCCGTACTGCCCTCCCTGCTGGTCTGGCTCTTCCAACTGCCCTCCCCTGCAGGCCTGTGTTCCCTCATACTGCCCTCCCCTGCTGGACTGATCGCCCCCAACTGCCCTCCCCTGCTGGACTGATCGCCCCCAACTGCCCTCCCCTGCTGGACTGATCGCCCCCAACTGCCCTCCCCTGCTGGACTGATCGCCCCCAACTGCCCTCCCCTGCTGGACTGATCGCCCCCAACTGCCCTCCCCTGCTGGACTGATCGCCCCCAACTGCCCTCCCCTGCTGGACTGGATGCCCCCAACCGCCCTCCCCTGCAGGCCTGTGTTCCCTCATACTGCCCTCCCTGCTAGACTGATCGCCCCCAACTGCCCTCCCCTGCAGGCCTGTGTTCCCTCATACTGCCCTCCCCTGCTAGACTGATCGCCCCCAACTGCCCTCCCCTGCAGGACTGGATGCCCCCAACCGCCCTCCCCTGCAGGCCAGGGTTCCCCCAACCACCCTCCCCTGCAGGCCTGTGTCCCCTCATACTGCCCTCCCTGCTAGACTGATCGCCCCCCAACTGCCCTCCCCTACTGGACTGATCGCCCCCAACTGCCTTCCCCTGCAGGACTGGATGCCCCCAACCGCCCTCCCCTGCAGGCCAGGGTTCCCCCAACTGATCTCCCCTGCAGGACTGGATGCCCCCAACTGCCCTCCCCTGCTGGACTGATCGCCCCCAACTGCCCTCCCCTGCTGGACTGATCGCCCCCAACTGCCCTCCCCTGCTGGACTGATCGCCCCCAACTGCCCTCCCCTGCAGGACTGGATGCCCCTAACCGCCCTCCCCTGCAGGACTGGATGCCCCCAACCGCCCTCCCCTGCAGGACTGGATGCCCCCAACCGCCCTCCCCTGCAGGACTGTGTCCCCTCATACTGCCTTCCCCTGCTGTACTGATGGCCCCCAACTGCCCTCTCCTGCAGGCCAGGGTTCCCCCAACTGCCCTTCCCTGCTGGCCTGGTCACCCCTAACTGCCCACAACTGCCCTCCCCTGCCAGCCATCTTGCGGTGGCCATCTTGTGTCCACAAGGGGGCAGCCATCTTTGGCCACATGAGGGCAGTCATCGTGTGTCTTGGAGTGATGGTCAATCTGCATATTACTCTTGTTAGATGGGATAGATTTCTTTTTTTTAAGAGAAGTTAGAGGCGTGTACACTGGGTGGCGCTGGAGCCACCCATTGAGAATGCCCTGGGAGGGACGGCTGCCACTCTGTCACTGAGGGCGCTGGGTGTGGGCCCAGGGAGAGGCAGCCTGGCCCGGGTGACTGTCGGGGTCCCTGAAACAAAACGGGGGTGGGGGGAGGGCAAGAGAGAGGAAGGCAGGAGCCGGGGTGCAGATGGGCCGGTGGGGGAGAAGCCGTCAGCGACCACAGCGGTTCCGTGGTCAGGGCCACGGCCGGCGGAAGCAGGGGAGGGGCGGGGAGGGCGAGCTCGGAGGCGGGTGCTGTCAGAGGGACCCCGGAGGGGGCGGCTGGAAACGGGTCTGGGGCCGGACGTCCCACGGCAGGCGCCCCGGGGCTGTGCCTCTGAAGCCTCCAGAGAAGGTCCTGGGCCCCCGGCTGCCCGGTGTCCGTGGCTCCTGGCAGCCCCTCTCCCACCTCCGCTCCGGCTCTGCACGGCGTCTCCTGGTCTCTGTTCTCCTTGTGAGGACGCCAATCCGAGGAGTCGGTCCCCGCCCACATGACCGCACGGTAACCTGGTCACTCTGCAAAGACCCTGTTTGCCAAGGACACGGAAGCACCGGGGCCAGGACTCCGGCCAAAACTCTGGGGGGGCGCAGTTCGGCTCACGGCGGAGGCCAGGCGTGAGGAGGCGGGGGCTCCGAGGGAGGCAGAGAGGCCCCAGACCCTGAGCTCAGGACAGTTGGCACGGGGCCCCTCCCCCCAGCACCTCCCTGACCTGGTCCGGCCGCCTCCACTGCCCACACTGCCACCTCCGCCCACGGAGACGGCTGGAATGTGGGCCCAGGCAGGTGGCCCCGGAGGCAGGCCCGCCTGGCACGCCGCTCCGGCCTCAGCCGGGGCTCCGGGAGACTCTCCAGGAGCCACGTCCCCGGTTCCACACACTCACCCACCCACAGGCGCCCCCTGTCCACAAGGCGGAGTCACTGTAGCCAGCGTCCGCCCAGCCCCTGCTGAGTTCAATGCCACAGCTTCCCTCGGGGCGGGGGTTGGGTATGGCCGTGGGAAGCACACCCCTCAGGCCTGGGCTCTGCGGCCCAGCAGGTGGCAGGCCTCCCGGGCCCACAGCGGACTGGGGAGAAGGGAGAGGATGTCCGAGGAGAGGATGTTGGACGAGAGGCCCCCTCCCCCCAGCCGCTAGGCCACAGTGCTCTGCGGGGTGCAGAGGGTTTTCAGGTGCCCCCATGGCCTAGGGAGCCTCCCACTCAGCTTCCCGAGGCTCCGGCCACGGGAGTCCACGGTGAGCCCCACGATCCACGGAGAAGGGTGAGAAAGGAACGTTCCCGGGGCCTGGGCAGGCAGCACGCTGCAGTGTTTCCCACGCTCGGCAGCGACCTTGTGCGTGGTGTGGTCAGACTGCATCTTCTAAGACGGTGGCCGCCAGAATCAGAGGTAGACTCTCATGTACCGGTGAAGGCCGTGGCCCGTGGCCCAAGGCCCGGGGCCCGGGGCTCGTGAGGAAAAGACCTTCTCAATACTTCATCAGTCAGCCTCCGCTGGTTTGGCTCAGTGGATAGAGTGTCAGACCGTGGACTGAAGGGTCCTGGGTTCGATCCAGTCAATGGACGTACCTCAATGGCAGGCTCGATCCGCAGCCTTGGTTGGGGCGTGGCAGGAGGCAACCACTGGATGCTTCTCTCTGTCTCTCCCCCTCCCTTCCGCTCTAAAAACCAATGGGGAAACACCCTCAGGGGAGGACTAACCAAAACTAAACTAAAATAAAGAATAAACCGGTGGTGAAATGCCCACAGGGAAGAAGCATGGGCCCTGCACTCCCACCGCATGCCAAGTCCACCCCGGTGGACGGAGACCGCGAGAGCTTCCAGAAGAGGCCGCCTCCCGGCCGCTGCAGCGGAAACTGGGGGGCCGTGCATTTGGGGGTGCGGGGAGAGTGGACGGGAAACTCTCCTCGCGGGAAAAGCATCACGCTGTGCACCTGGAGCGAATGTCATTACGTATGTCAGGTGCATCTCAGAAATAATTAAAATTTAAATGTAGAAAACAGCCACGGGAGCCTCAAAAGGGAGGCCATTCGGGTTTCCTCCCGGCCCCTCCGCGGCTGCAGTTCCCGCTAAGGGCCACCAGGTGGCGCGCGGTCACAGCGGAAGAGGCGCCCACGCAGGTGGGAGCCGGAGCCTTCTGCCAGGTGAGGGCCCCAGGCCCGTCGCCTCCAGCTCGGCCCGGAGCGGGCGGCAGAGCCCAGCTACCCACACACCAGCCCCGGGCCTCGGGCCACTTCCCCCAGCTTCCATTCTTCCTGCAAACACAGGCATGGAACACGGGGCCCGATGCACAGCTGACGAGGCTGGAAACGGCAGGGAGCTGGGGAGGGCGTGAGGGGCCGCCGGTGGAAGCAGGGTCCCTGTGCCTCCCCAGCGAGGCCCGCGCGGCGTGCTGTGCTGGTGGAGGGGCCGTGGGGAGGGGCCGGGCCGGGGCCGGGGCCGGGGTGGGGGCGGGGGTGCGGTCCACCCCGGGAAGGCGATGGCAGCCACCGTTGTGGAAAAGCGGAGAGCATGACAGCCATGTCTACGACACGCAGACCACATACATGTGGGCAATGTGGGGCTGCTGAGAACTGGGCAGGTTCATTAGGTCGGCTGGAGGGGGACAGGGAGGGAGGGAGGGGGACAGGGAGGGACGGAGGGGGACAGAAGGAGGGACGGAGGGAGGGAGGATGGAGGGAGGAGGACGGAGGGAGGGAGGGAGGGGACAGAAGGAGGGAGGTGGACGGAGGGAGGGAGGTGGACGGAGGGAGGGAGGGAGGTGGACGGAGGGGAGGGAGGTGGACGGAGGGAGGTGGACGGGAGGAGGTGGACGGAGGGAGGGAGGGAGGGAAGGAGGGGGAAGGAGGGGGACAGGGAGGGACGGAGGGGGACAGAAGGAGGGACGGACGGAGGGAGGGAGGAGGACGGAGGGAGGGAGGTGGATGGAGGGAGGGATGGAGGGGGACAGGGAGGGACGGAGGGGGACAGAAGGAGGGACGGAGGGAGGGAGGGAGGAGGACAGAGGGAGGGAGGTGGATGGAGGGAGGGATGGAGGGGGACAGGGAGGGACGGAGGGAGGGAGGTGGACGGAGGGACGGAGGGAGGGAGGGAGGGAAGGAGGGGGGAGGGAGGGGAATGTGGATGAGAACCGGTTTTCTGGGGCTCCTGGGAGTAGTCGTCAGGGAAATGCCTGCCGTTCTAGCTCGGCGGCCCCGGCCT